AGGAAGGGAAGCTGAGCCTGCTCCCTGGGTTAGGTGGGAATTGGGGCAGGTCCAGGGATGATCCGGTCTTTGCCAGCACTTCGTTTTCCTGCCTCTATAAACCAGGCCTCCTCCGCAGCCGTGAGACAAAGATTCCCCAACACACACCCCGCACAGCCATGTCAGGAGTCTAGAGGCATCCAGAAAAGTCAGCCACCTGTCCATCTAGGTTGGTGGGGCTCAGTGTGATGGCTGAGTAGTGGGGAAACAAGATGCTGCACATGAGAAGGGTTGGAGGGGGCTGATATTAGGTGGGAGGTGGGGGAGGGGCAGGACTGGTGGGGAGATCATAGTATCATAGCATTTCAGAGCTGACAGAAAGCAATCTCCTGCTTTTACAGATGAGGAAACCGAGGCATGCCACCTGTTAGTGGTAGAGCAGGAAGGGAACTGATATTCTCTTGTTAAACTCTCAGGCCTGGGCTCCCTAGCTCCTGAGTAATCTGGCCTTACATGGACTAAAATCCCAAAAGGAATCAGAAACCTGGCCCTTAGGCGGTGAGGCCAGTTTGGGCATCCTTTTTGAAGATAGTGGTTAGAACCGTAAGTCGATGAGGACACAGAGTGAGACATGGCAGGGATGCCACCGGATTTTAAGGGATGCCTTCTCTGGAGGCAGTAGAGAGAACCAGATGGTGCAGTCTGGGGGTGTTTGCAGAAAAGAGTGAACATAGCAGGACTGCTCTTCTTAGAAAGGCAGCTGGCAAGGGTGGTCCTTGTCTTGTGTCTGGACTTCCGGAGTGTTCCACCCTTTTCTAACTGATAAGTGTGGCTCACTCTGCCTAGGCTGTATTTACATAGCGTGGTTTATGTTGAATGCTGTATGTGCTAGGCAGGGTGCCTATGTGACCATCCCCCCGTAAGAGCCTTGGGTACTGAGTCTCTAATGGGCTGGCCCACGTTGTTGCATTTGACTGGGGTGGGGGGAGGAGTGTACTCTGTATGACCCCTCACTGGAGGAAGAGCACTTAAGGAAGCGTAGGAATCCTCCTGATTCACCTCTGTCTTTTTCCCTCTTAGCTGTGAGTACAACTATATGCTGAGTTCTTGGGGTCCGTATAGTGAATCTGCAAAGCTGGGGGTGGTGTTGGGGGCCCCCCAGCACAGAATCCAAGGGAAGAGAGAGTTGAAAATGGAGGGTACAGCAAGAGTGCCAGGGACTGTAGGATGAGCACTGAGAAAAGAACTTTTTCTTTTTTTGATGTTGATGTTATAGATTGATACTGAATTGAGGGAAGGAGAGACAGGAGCTTGAGACAGAAACAGGTTAAGGAAAAAATCCCTTTGGGAGTGGACCCTTGAGGATGTCTGAGGCAGAGGGAAGGAGCCAGAGAGAGGAGAGTAAGGGAGGAGAGAGGCAGTGGAGTGCAGTGGGTTAGAGCTGTGCTGTGTCCTGGATGGTTCTGGCCTATGCCTCTTATCCAGGGATAATTATTAATAGTGCCCCTTTCACTCTCAGAAGTGTCATACTTTGTATAATACATTATGTGGTCATCCAAGTTAGAGCGTTGTACCTTTGGATCATACCTGGTTTTGAGTCCCTGTTCTGCTATGTGATTTTGGGCAAATAATTAAACCTCTTAGAGTCTGTTTTTTTCATCTGTAAGATGGTTGTATCAGTCAGGTTTCCACCAGAGAGTAGGATATCTGTATACTTAGATAGAGATCATGGAGCTGGCTAGGCAAGTTGGAAATCTGTAGGGCAGGCTGTCAGGAAGAGCAGACTGGAAACCCTCGGGCAGGAGCTGATGCTGCAGCCAACAGGAGGAATTTCTTCTTTCTCAGGGAAACCTCAATTATATTCTTAAGGCCTTTCAACTGATAAGATCAGGCCCACCAAGATTATCTAGGATAATCTCCTTTATATAAAGTAACTGATTGTAGATACTAACCATATCTACACAGTACCTTCACAGCAACACCTAGGTGAGTGATTGAATAATTGAGTACATAGCCTACTCAAATTGACACATAGGGCTGGCCCGTGGCTCACTCGGTAGAGTGCGGTGCTGATAACACCAAGGCCGCGGGTTCGGATCCCACATAGGGTTGGCCGGTTAGCTCACTGGCTGAGCGCGGCGCAGATAACACCTAGTGAAGGGTT